TCGGAGTGGCCTCGAGGGCTCGGAGGACGGCGATGGCTCCCGAGCCGGGGAGGCGGGGGCGAGGCAGGAACAGTCGGAGCGCCTCCCGGCGGCGCCGGCGGCGGGTGACGGGGAGTCAGTGCAGGACGGGGCGCCGGCGGGGAATGTGACTGACGGGACTGATGGGACTGAGCAGACGGCGGAGGGTGGGATTGATGGGACTGGTGTGACTGGTCAGTTGGCTGATCAGACTCAGACGCGGACTGATCAGTCTGCCGGTGACGGTCGCCAGTCGCCCGTGCTGCGCCTGACGGGGGGAGAGGTGGAGGGGACGCCCAGACGACGGCTCTGCGCCCTGCTGTGAGGTCGCCGGGACCACTGTGCGGCCTGGCCAGCACTCAGGAGACCCGGACTCTCTGACGGAGCTCTCTCAGCAAGTCTAAGTCACAATGGATTGGTGTGCTATGATGTGCTATGCGCTGTTGTGATAGGACAGAGGAAGGTATCCGCACTCCCTTGGGGAGCCGTTTGATCCAGCAGACATGCAGTGCTGCCTTGCGAGGCTAACTCAGAGCTTATGTTTGTGTGGTAAACAGTCTTTTATCTCCCAGTGTGTTTCCGATTACATCTGCATATGTATAGCGACGCTGGATGTGAAGATAATGTGGCGATGTGTTACCAAAGAATTATTAAAAACCTCAGCAGTATTTCGGCCAAGTTAGAGTTGCACCCCGCTAACTGTGTCATATAAGCCATTTTTCTCGCGGGCACCCACTGTGACATGAGCGGTGAAGTGTGCGCTGCCGAGGGTCCGAAGTCGACCGTCTCAGGCCGTTTGGCTCCGACTTTCTCCGAGCTGCGGCAGCGAACCGCACTGGTGCCGCCCGCTCTGGGATTCTACCCGTAGTGGTGCCACCGGCTGTGGGATTCTACCCGTACTGGTGCCGCCGTCTCTGGGATTCTACCCGTTTAGGTGCCGCCGGCTCTGGGATTCTACCCGTTCAGGTGCCGCCGTCTCTGGGATTCTACCCGTACAGGTGCCGTCGGCTCTGGGATTCTACCCGTTCAGGTGCCGCCGTCTCTGGGATTCTACCCGTACAGGTGCCGTCGGCTCTGGGATTCTACCCGTACTGGTGCCGCCGTCTCTGGGATTCTACCCGTACAGGTGCCGTCGGCTCTGGGATTCTACCCGTACTGGTGCCGCCGTCTCTGGGATTCTACCCGTACAGGTGCCGTCGGCTCTGGGATTCTACCCGTACTGGTGCCGCCGTCTCTGGGATTCCACTCGGAACGGCAGTGCCGCTCTGGCCTCTGAGCCTGGAGCGACAGAGCTGCACTACAGGGATGGAACGGCTGCCGTGCAGTCTGCTGTGGCCGGCGTTCCGCCGTCTCTGAGCAGCGGCACATCAGTGGACGGTAGTTTTCGGCTGCACGTCGTCCAGTGCTCGTTTTCGGAGATTGATTGTCCCAGTGTCAGCCCTGCTATTTTTAGAGGCAGATCCGCCACATCGTTCAACGCTTACGCGTCTGTGGTTTCTTCAGACACGTATTGAAGAAGATTCATCGATTTCAAAATTTTGTTACAAATGGAAGTAGCGGCATTTCTAGTGAAAGGTGCCTTGTGAATCTGATGCCTTGGATTTTATTAACATTATTGATCTTTAATGGGTAGGCTGATATTATGCTACAATGACCGTGCTCATTGAGCTGCACTACTGACCAGTGATATCCTGCTTTATAAAAAGGTTACCAAAGCCATGTCGCCGTCGGTTCGGCGGTGCCGTGTGTCGCTGCCGACTGCCGTTACGTTGCCACTGTTCTTTAGTTAGCCGGACAAGTAGTGTAGGTGTATAGCTCGCTATGATGGCTGAGGAGATATTGGTAAAGAGACCAGATGAGAGAAGCCTGAGACTGCTGACACGAGTGGCGATACAGTGCCTTAGATGGCTGCCCGTCGCAGCGGCCGCGGCAGAACCGCCAGGCTGCTGCAGCCGGTCTTCCGTTTTGTACCGTGCAAAGCAACACGATCAATACAATAATTTTCACTTTGCAATCGCCTTTCCAGTGGCGTTCGCATCAACCTGTTTTGCCGAACATCTGTGATCTATTTTCTGCAGACTATATGAAGACTCGGGGCAGCACTTTAAATTCCTTCGGAAGGCGCCGCTCTCCTTGTCAATTTATGGGCAGCAGATATACCTTTTACATCGCACAGCAACCTATAAGCCGAATACATGAATATCGCACTCCATATATCCATATAATGTAGGTAAACATGCATCAAATGTGTGATTTTTTCTCAGTGCTCGGCATAATGATAAGCATGCAAAAAACAATGGAGAGGGACGAAGCCGGTGTGACAGTGAGTTCTGTACTGCTGACCGCCGCTGACCAGTGTGTCAGTGCATGTGACGCTGGTCACTGCCACTCACCATGTGACTGATGTATGTGACGCTGGTGACCGCCGCTGACCAGTGTGACAGTGCATGTGACGCTACTGACTACACTGACCAGCAGCACCCTGCCATTCTGGGCCGGGGGTGCACCCGCCCAGAGCCGCCGCCGCCTCGCGTGTTCGGCGCAATCGGCCGGCCGGATCCCTCAACCGTGACTCCGGCTGTGAGTGGCCCGCAGAAAGGAGCTCAGCGGGGCGGTGCGGCGGCGCGCCAGCCATGGGTGCAATGTGGCGCAGCAGTGCGGACAGACGCGGATACACCCACCCATTGTCACCGACCGAACAATGTCCTCACGTATGGCATTGAGTGCCGGATAAAGCAGTTTGGCTCCTAAATGTTCGAACAAACCAGGCAATTACCTATCTTTTGACAGTCTTGACATTCTGCTACTTAAGATTTTTTAACGTTATCACCACTTCCATTTACGATAATAATGAGTACCTATATAGCACCAGCCAGGTACTATTTGAAGATATACCGGTATTGTTGAAAGCTGAATCGTCGAATCTCGTTCGATATCTGCCTGTCGAGCGGGCCCCAGCCCAGGTGGCGGCTGCTCGGCAGGTGGCGGCGCCCAGACAGCCCAGACAGCTCGGCGGGCGACCGAGACCGGCCTCCCGCGGAGTCGGAGCACCGAGCGCGGCTCCGGCGGCGGCGGCGGCGCGTCACACACGGGACGGGGCGGCTGCCGGTGCCGGCGAGCGGCTGCCGGTGCCAGCCCCGCGCCACCGGCGGCAGAGGGCGCAACTAGAGCCTGGCACCGCGACCAGCGGCTGGCAGCACCGGCCGTGCATCACCCTAGGTCCCGAGACCCTGAAACCGCACCACTTGGGCACGCCGCCCGGCCAAACGGGGACAGAGCTGCAGAGACACACCGACCGGTATCAGTCGCCGGTCGGAGATGAGGCCTAGGGGTGGTGCAGCGGCACCGTCCAACGAATGGCCAGTGTCCGACCGGCTATATAGCCTTGGTCCGGCCTGCCACCTGAACCGCAGGTGTAGGTGTTCCATCTTCGGCCGTCCGTGGATGGAACCCTGTGAGCGCCGGTGAGCCGGCAGGATGGCTCTGGATCAGCTCAGCCCACTAGGATGATCATGGGATGTTGAGGTGCTGACCACTAGCGCCATCTCAGAACAGCTATTGAAGTGCATGTGTAACGCGGCACAGTATCTGTGCGCTCACAGGCGTTAACTACTAGCGACATCTCTGGACTGAAATCGGAGTGAATGTGTAACGCGGCACAGTATCTGAGCTTTCACAGGCGTTTACCGCTAGCGCCATCTCTGGACAGTAACTGAAACGAATGTGTAATGCGGCACAGCATATGCTTTTGAAAGGGGCGAACTACTAGCGCCATCTCTTGACAATCAAAGGAGCTGGTGTGTAATGCGGCACAGTATCTCTATGCTTACAGGCGTCAACTACTAGCGCCATCTCTGGACGGCAATTGGAATGAATGTGTGATGCGGCACAGTATCTTACGCTTCCGGGCGTTTACTGCTAGCGCCATCTCTGGAAAATGATTAGAGCCATTATGTAATGCGGCACAGTATGTTCACAGGAATCAACAGCTAGTCTGCAGCGGCAGTGCCTTCAAGGGACAATGGAATTGATGTGTGCTGACTGCTGCGGCACAGGTCTCTACAGGCGTCACCTCAGCATATCCGCGCCACAGGATGTTTTGTGCTTGTGCACGGTTGACAACTCGCTTTACCTAAACAGACGCTACTGTTCTGTGCCATTTCAGGAAAACACTTTGGGTTCATGTCAAATGCCTCCTCGCTCACTTGCTGCCACTTTATCATGCGAATTAGTGTATAAAATGTGTGTCAGATTAGTCTGGCACATTTGACAACCCAGAACACGCAACCTCTAATGTCTCCGACACGTTTATTTATGGGATGTAAAACATTGTCATCACCAAAATATACGAATGCATGTTAAGGTACTTCTCGCTTATAACATTACAATGTTAGTGTTCATCCAAACTGGAAATGATCGCAAAAATACAGGTGCATCAGAGATGCGTGCTCGTCCATCGGCTGCAAAAGCTAGTTAAGACACAGAATGTGCTCACTGGCCGTTAACACCTACAGGTATCCTGGGAACACACGGTACAACGGTCACCGATCTCTCGGTATTACCACATTCACAATCACAAACATGATCACAATTATATCCCGCCAATATTTCACCACTCCACCCCAGCAGTATTACTTTAGTGGGGCTGAACACAAACCAACGTGTACATATATCGGAATAAAATAGTGCGAACTCAGAAAGCGTAACATAAAAAGAGGCATTACATGGATGGAATGGAATGCATCAAACCCTGATTTGTGGAGTGACAAAAGTCACGTTCGAATCGTCCCTGACATTTTATGCTGTAAGTGCTGTTATAATTATCGTCCCTGAACGCCGGATGAAGAAAGTGACGTGACCTCAGGGGTCTTGTGAGATTTTCGGACGTTATGGATTGCATTATTTCAGTTACACAATAATATGCGAGTAAAAGAAGATTTCATGACACAATTATCACACACATAAACTTGCTTGCCACATTCATCATGCATCACAATAATTATGTCGAAGTGTCCTGCAGCCATCGGTGACAACTGACAAACCCAGCGTAGTCGTTCACAGGCTCGAAATGACGACAGAAACGGACCGCACACTAGGGGAATTAACTGAGCAAAAGGACCCTGTGACCAGTCCTACTGAAAAGAAGTGCAACTGATTAAACGCGCTGAACATGACACTCGGTGCAGTGAACGCAATCAGCGGGTAAAACGGGTGCCGACCCACCCTGTCACCGATGGACACTCGGGTGCTCCGAGCCGTCACTGCGAGCGGCTCGAACACGGCACGCACACAGACACACAGACATACAGTCACCGGCGCATAGAGCGGCGACGACGGGCGGTGATATGGAAGAACTGGACGGATCGACTGTAGAGATGGCAGCACACGCAGGAAGACTGCTCAGCTGACTGACCCCCGGTACCGTTTGTCCAGGTGGCAGGTCACTGAGGTGGCACACGGGGCCGCTCGTTTGGTCAGCGGCCGGTCTGTGGTTCTGCCCCGCGCAGCTACGACTCGACGAAGGCGGGGTTCTCCAGTCCGCCCTCGGGCCGACTGGTGAAATCCTTCTCTGCCTCGCTGGAGCCCACTGGTCGGCCGGCTGGCGAGGGGTGGAAATGGGGGGTCAGCACAGTGTCAATGGGGGGGGGGGCAGCAGTCAGCACGTCAGCCAGGTGGAGCGAGCACCGGCGGCTTTGATAATATATAACTCAGGGTAATTAGGGCATACCTGCCCGAACGGACAGCAGACATGCAGAGGCTCGGTGACATTGCCAAAACACAGAAGTTTGCTACAAGCCCTGAGCCCATGACTCTTCCCTTGCTCCGAAATCCGAGCCCATGGCTCATCCATTACTTTACTATCATTTTCATGGCGACAGGGAGCGCGCCCTGGCATAAAATTAGGTTTTGACATTTATCTAGCATGGTAAGTACCTATACCAGCGGGCGAACCTTGGTCGACGGTGGCCACCGGGTACTCCTCGCTGCCCTCTGGCGGCTTATAGAAGATCCACGCCAGGTTGTAGAAGATGAACGAGGAAAACTTCCACATCAGCGTGGCGCCCATCAGGTACCTGGCGAAGAAGCCGCCGGGCGGTGAAACGGGCCCGCCAACACCGGGTCACTGCCGTACCTGCAATCTCCCACCCAAACATCGCCTGGCCTCCGCCTGCGTCGCCAAATGGTCCCAGGCATTAGACGAACATGAAAGTAAAGAAGTGATTGTACACGTACGTACATGCACGTCGAAGTAAAGAACAACAACGATGGAAGCCTATTGAGGAAAAGTGACCTATTTGATAAGGCAGCGGCTGGGGCGATTACCTGCTCATCCACCAGTTGTCGTAGACCAGGCAGTGACTGGGGTAATTGGGGTAATTACCTGCTCATCCACCGGTTGTCGTAGACCAGGCAGTGGCCGGGTAATTACCTGCTCATCCACCAGTTGTCGTAGACCAGGCAGTGGCTGGGGTAATTGGGGTAATTACCTGCTCATCCACCAGTTGTCGTAGACCAGGCAGTGGCTGGGGTAATTACCTGTGGCTGGGGTAATTACCTGTTGCCGGGGTAATTACCTGCTCATCCACCAGTTGTCGTAGACCAGGCAGTGGATGGGGTAATTGGGGTAATTACCTGCTCATCCACCAGTTGTCGTAGACCAGGCAATGGCTGGGGTAATTACCTGTTGCCGGGGTAATTACCTGCTCATCCACCAGTTGTCGTAGACCAGGCAGTGGAACCTGTTGCCGGGGTAATTACCTGCTCATCCACCAGTTGTCGTAGACCAGGCAGTGGATGGGGTAATTACCTGTGGCTGGGGTAATTACCTGCTCATCCACCAGTTGTCGTAGACCAGGCAGTGGCTGGGGTAATTACCTGTGGCTGGGGTAATTACCTGCTCATCCACCAGTTGTCGTAGACCAGGCAGTGGCTGGGCCCGCTGCACGGGCTACCCCACAGCTGGCACGAGCGGTCGATGAGCGCGCCGAATATGATCGGACCGGGGATGGTGCCGACGATTCTTAGTACTGTGGTGGAGATGCCCATGGCCAGCGGCCGCTGCCGGGGCGCCACCGACCTGCCGCACCGTCAGGTCGGGTCAGGGCAGGGCGGGTCGGATGGGACGCTTTGTGAGATCAGAGGCGTGGGCATGCATGATCCCGTTATCTAAACGGTCTGGACTATTCACATCGTCCGCTAATATCTGGGATGGGGCAGGCTTGCGTTAACTCGCATGATTTCAGTACTACGGCGTTTCTGGGTTCCAAGTTCGGGGCTCTTCTGGGTACAGTTCGAGCTGACCTGCGGTTCATATTGTTTGAGTTGCGAGCCAAATCAATGCACATTAATATCGCACATCGGCGCTCGGCTGAACTATGGAGTCGCCGCTCCTCCACACCGAGGGTGGTGTTTGCTTGCGCCACATACCGGCCGAGGTCAGTTCACAGGGCGACGCGCCACGGCGGGCGGCGCCGCTGGACGGTCCGGTGCTGCGCCCCACGGTTCAGCGGCAGCTGGTGCCAGATATCCCAGTCACGGCCCGGCCGCCGCCGGCAGTGACACCCACCTGAAGATGGCCGTGGAGCTGGGCGACGTACCGACGAATGTACAGAAGGCGGCCACGCTCTGCGTGATGACGATCAGCGCCAGGTAGGGACAGGCGCCGGCGCACCGGTCCGGCGCCGACAGGCCCTCGGCCGAGTCGTCCATACAGCGGCAGTCGACGCCGCTCTGCCGACGGCACACACAGGGCGTCAGACAGGACAGCGGACACACCGGGCGTCAGACAGGACAGCGGACACACACCGGGCGTCAGACAGGACAGCGGACACACACCGGGCGTCAGACAGGACAGCGGACCGACCGGGCGTCAGACAGGACAGCACACACAGGGCGTCAGACGGGACAGCGGACACACCGGGCCTCAGACAGGACAGCGGACACCGGGCGTCAGACAGAACAGCCCGGACACCGGTCGACAGACGGAACAGCAGACATCGGGCGTCAGACAGGACAGCGGACACAGGGCGTCAGACAGGACAGCCCGGACACCGGGCGTCAGACAGGGCAGCGGACCGACCGGGCGTCAGACGGGACAGCGGACACCGGGCGTTAGACAGGACAGCGGACACCGGGCGTCAGACAGGACAGCGGACACCGGGCGTCAGACAGGACGGTACACACAGGGCGACAGGACAGCGGACCGACCGGGCGTCAGACAGAAGAGTTAGGAGAACTGCAGACGGGACAGTAGGCAGGAGAGCAGGCATCGAGCGCAGACAGGATAATTCTGATCAACGTGTCACTGACCAAGTCAGTGACAGTGTCACAGCCGTGTCATCACTGTCAGTGTCGTGTCACTGACCGTGTCAGTATCAGTGTCACAGCCGTGTCAGTGTTAGTGTCAGCTGTGTCAGTGTCGTGCCCGTGTCCGTGTCACTGACCGTGGCTCCTGGCGCCGAGCAGCCGGCGTGACACGCCGAGAAGTAGGTGATGCCGTCCGGGCCGCAGATGGGCTCGAAGCGGCCCGAGCCGCAGCCGCAGCCGCTATTACACGCGTCCTGCAGGCGCGCCGCGCTGTCGGCCAGCAGCCACGACTCGCTGTCGGCGGAGCTGGCGGCCAGAGGAGCGAACGGAGGGTCAGCGGGCGGCACGGGGCGGTCAGCGGGTCAGCGGGCGGCACGGGGCGGTCAGCGGGTTAGCGGGCGGCACGGGTGCGGGTCAGCGGGCGGCTCGGATTCGGATTCTGAGCAGTGATCGCCAAACATTTGGAATGTGGATTGCTCTTTAATGTAAATACAAATACAAATACACGGCGGGTCATCATGGTAGCATGACACCACCCAGTGATAACTTATACAGAACACGTTTAAATGCATTATGGATAACGAGCAGGACAGCACACAGGACAGCACACAGGACAGCAGACACCGGGCGTCAGCCAGAGCAGCAGACACTGGACAGACTACCATTGGACTACTATGGCGCTGCTAAAACGTGCCATTCATCCAACACCAATTTAACAAAGCACTTGGTCGAATCGAAATGATAGTGCCTGGCTCTGCCGGTTTTTACTCTTCCCTGCCGCGAGTTCCAGCGCGGTGAAATGGAGCCGGCCTTGAACTCCGTCAACAGCGCCATTAGAGCCGGCGGGCGGACGGAAGGCAGTTGTTAGCAGTCGGAGCTGAATGAGTGGGTCTGGAACGGTTGGTGCCTGACTGCGCGCCGCCGCACATTGCTGGCTGATTTCACGGGTCAGAGGCGGCCTCTGCCGCCCCGGGTCGGCTCAGCACGGCGCACAGATACAGCAATGAGCGGCAGCTGGAGCCTGGTAGCACGCCACCGTCCGCGCCCAGCTGTGGGGACGCGCCATCCCGGCTGTGCATGCACGCGCCGACCTGCCAGTCATCCCGGGCAGCCTCCGGCGAGGTACGACACAATGAACCGGGGACAGTACGACACAGTGAACCACACACGGTACGACACGGCGAGCCACACACAGTCCTATAGTGAACCCGGCGCGGTACGACACAGCGAGTCAAACACAGTACGACACAGTGAACCACAGACAGTACGACACAGTAAACCCTAGACAGTTCTACACACTTCACAGTGAACCCCGAACACAGTTAGCTCAGGGCAGTTTGACACATTGAACGGTTCGACACACTTCACAGTGAACCCGGGACAGTACGCCACGGTAAAACCCGAACGGTACGCTACAGTGAACTGGGACTGTTGTCACCAAGGCCGTATAGGAGGTTGTCACAGTGAACCCCGGGCGGTATAAAGTTACAGTGAACCCCGCGGCGATTCGTGACGGGGCACTCGATGTCAGTGACGACCTTGGCCAGGCCGTCTGAGGGTGGGGGGGGGGGGGGGGCGCTCCACTCGAGTGAGGTAGGCAGCTGGAGTGGGGGCCGGCTGGTGGGGGGGGGGGGGTGCACGCTCCACTCTAGTGTGGTAGGCAGCGAGGGGGGGGGGGTTGGTTGGATAGAAACGACCTCTGGTGTGATAGGGAGCTGGGCAGGGGAAGGGGAGGCGCTGGAAACTACATACATCCGGTACAGTGTTAAGTGCCGCCTTCCCTGCCGCTCATAGGACGCCAGCTGACGGAGAGGCAGTGCGGCTACAAACGGAAGGGGTGGCCGAGCCGCACGACACAGGACGTGCCGCTCTGTACAGCACAGGTGAGCGCGCCAGTACGATACAGCACGGGACGGCGCGGTGTGAGCCGGCTGCTGTATAGCACGGTATAGTTCGTAAAGGCGGGTTACAAACCGGGATGATGTGTTATGACACGGAATGGTGTGTTATAACACAGAATAGCGCGGTAAAACACGGTATGGTGCGGTATAAACCGGGAATGCATGGTATAATAAAAAATGACGCTCTTTAACCCGGGATGATGAGGTATACCTAATACCTAATTACCGCATACTTAATATGCGGTAACTTGGGATGGTACAACATCACTCATGCATGTCTACTCAGCCAATTATAAGGTACAGTCACATTATCACAAGGTACCTATCAACGCCCTCGTCACCTTTTCCTTGTCAGGGGCTCGGTACAGGATCAGCAGCAGAGGAGGGAGAGCCGCTCCTGCCGTCCACTCACCGGTTCCGGTAGGGCGTGTTGACTCCCGCGAACGGAACGTTCGGGCAGCTCGCCAAGAACACGAACGTCGAGAGAAAGGACAGAAACGAGAAGATGGCGATGAACTTGAGGATGCCGGTGAGTCGGAGCTGGAGTCGCTTCACCAGGTAGCCGCCGACCACGGTTCCCGAGGCGCCGCCGACCAGCGCCGCCGCGCCTGGGGACACGGACGGCCGTGAGGGAGGGCGCACGGCGGGGCGGCTGCTCGTGGGGGGACGCGGGCGGCAGTGCGGGAGGGGGACGGCACACGGCGAGGCGGCTGCTCGTGGGGGGGGGGGGGGACACGGACGGCCGTGAGGGAGGGCGCACGGCGGGGCGGCCGCTCGTGGACAGACACGGGCGGCCGTGAGGGAGGGGCAGCTGGGGCAGCTGCTCGTGGACAGACACGGGCGGCAGTGAGTCCGTCAGGGGGACGACACAACGCGGAGCAGCTGATCAGCCGGTCATGGAGTCACGGACAGCCGTGAGTCCCTGACGGAGGGCGGGCCTACGACGGAATGAGCAAAAACGACCGCGGGCCGAGACGGTTCAAGCGAACACCGGACAGGAGTGTGTTAATAATACAGTAAATTGACCATCGGCACGCCGGACGCGGCACTGCCTGTCCGCGCCATCCATGGGTGGAGGCTGCACTGTGCCCGCTCACCTGTGTAGAGGCCCGACTGGCTGGCGGGCAGGCCGAACTGGTTCTGGATGAACTTGGGCATGAAGGTGGACATGCCGGCCATGACGGCGCCGTCGGTGGCGCCCGCCAGCGAGATACACAGGAAGGTGGGGTTGGTGAGGCAGCCCCAGATGGCCGCCGGCAGGTCCTGCCCGGGCACACCGCACACCGTCACGCCGCCATCAGAGGCGCTACAGCCGTCAGTTTGCATATCCCATGAATACGAATCACTACCGATAGGTACCACGGCACGTAGAGGTAACCGAGTACGACGGCAGGCATAACCAGCGCCGTCTGCTCGTGCACGGAGCGGGTGAATAGCAGCCGACTAGTGACCCACCCGGCGCCGTCGACTGACCTTGGCGCGCCCAGTGGCCGCCCGGCAGCCCGCCCGGCGCCGTCGACTGACCATAGCCCGCCCAGTGACCGCCCAGTGACCGCCCGGCGCCGTCGACTGACCTTGGCCCGCCCAGTGACCGCCCGGCGCCGTCGACTGACCTTAGCCCGCCCGGCAGCCCGCCCGGCGCCGTCGACTGACCTTGGCGCGGCCCTCTGCCAGCTTGTTCTCCAGCTTCTCCAGCTGCTGGGCGTCCCGGCCTCCGTGCGTCTCCGTGTCCCCCGAGTCCAGGTCCCGGGACTGGGGCAGCACGCGCGGGAACGCCAGAACCGGCAGCGCCGCCAGCCACGTGACGAACGAGGCGATGAAGAAGCCCAGCCACCAGGCGCCCACCCAGCCCTCGCTGCCGGGGCTCAGCCCCATACTGAGGGACAGCGGGAGAGGGCGCACTGTTAAACCCGGGCGGGAGGCAGGAGTGCAGCGCACTGTCAAACATAGAAGGGGAGTAGAGCAGCCTGCTTGCAAGGCCACCCGGGGACGACACATATTCGAACCAATTTACACTGCGCGTGATAAGCAGCAGGCGCCGTGTCTGTTTCCGGCACCGGCTCGTATCAGCGGCACTAGGCTAACGGTAATTCACCTTCACCTTGTCGGCTGCTCCAGTCGGGCGTCCTAGCAGGCACTTTTGAAACGGACCCTATCGGACCCCACAAACACGTACAGTACACAAATACGCGTGCGCATGATAGGACGCGTTGTTACTCGCAAAAACTAGACGGCAAAAATAAACAAAACTCCCGAAAGACCGTGCGAGTTGTATACCTAGTCCCAACTGACAAAAAAAACTGGCCAACAAGACCAGCTAACAAGACAACTGACTGACCGACCCGACCCGTCTGACCGACTGACCGACCCGTGACACCGACTCGTCTGACCCGACCCGTCTGAACAACTGACCCGACCCACGACACCGTCTGACCCGACTGACCGACCCGTCTGACCGACTGACCGACCCGTCTGACCGACTAACCGACCCGTCTGACCGACTGAACCGACCCATGACACCGTCTGACCCGACTAACCGACCCGTCTGACCCGAGACCCGTGTGACCGACTGACCTGCGGGCGTCGACGGTGACAAAGTCTGTGTGGATGTTGAGCAGCGTCGATCCGCCCAGGTAGCCGATGGCCGGGCCCACCAGAGCCATGGTGTAGTACACGCCCAGGAACACCTGGCGGGCAACACACAGCGGTAGAGGTGAGCATAGGCTGACAACGAAATGGCCCGCAAAAGACAGCGGTATGTGCTTCCCGAGTTAGTTTTCGAAAGGATTCCACTCACCGAGACGAGTTTCTTTTTGACGTTGGCGTCGATGTAGGCGACCCCGAGTGACCAGAGCGGCGCGGCGCCCAGCCCGTGCAGCACCTGGGCCAGCAGGAACACGTACAGGAAGCGCGACACGTCGCCGCCGCCTCCCGCCCCGGCCTCGGCGTCACACGAGTCGGCGCCGGCGCCGCAGGCCGACTCGGACGGCTGCGTCAGCACCAGGTACTCGGGCGTGAAAAAGTGCGGCAGGCTAAACACCAGCGAGCTGCCGGCCGGGGGAGCACCGGTCAGGGCGGGGTAAACTGCGGCAGGCTGAACACCAGCGAGCTGCCGGCCGGGGGCGTACCGGTCAGGGCGGGGTAAACTGCGGCAGGCTGCCGGCCGGGGGCGAACCGGTCAGGTCGGGGTAAAGTGCGGCAGGCTGAACACCAGCGAGCTGCCGGCCGGGGGCGTACCGGTCAGGGCGGGGTAAACTGCGGCAGGCTGAACACCAGCGAGCTGCCGGCCGGGGGCGTACCAGTCAGGGCGGGGTGAATGGTCTGGGTACACGGGCGGAGTACAGTGGTCAGGTCATGGTACACATACAGAGTACACTCGCTAGGTACATGGGCGGATTACAGTTACACCAATCAGGTCAGGGTACACAGAGAGGGTTCACGGGCGGGTACTCTCGAGTCAGCGCGCACGGTCAGGGCCAGGCAGGACACATAAAATTGACGTAATATATGGGTTCCGTCAATAGCGTAGCGAATGTTCATATCCTGTGCACACAATCCAACGCCCAGCCACCATCCACTTATCACCCACCTGCCCACCCACCCAGCACCCAGAGGTGGTGGTCAGCACTCAGCACCCAGAGGCGGTGACCAGCACCCACCCAGCACTCAGAGTCGGTGGCCAGCACCCACTCAGCACCCAGAGGCGGTGGCCAGCACCCACCCGATGCCCATGACGATGAGTCCGATGCCGATCCAGCGCGGTTTGCTGGCGGCCGCGCGCCCGCCGGCGTACGCGATCGGTACCGAGCACAGGGTGGCCGCGATGTCGTACGTGCCCGCGATCAGGCCCGCCTGCGCCGACGTCAAGCTGAAGCGCCGCTCCAGAGACGTGATGCTCACGTTGATCAGACCGTTGATGATGAAACCTGCACAGACGCAGAGATTAGGGGCGCCGGTCAACGGTGGGCCCCGAGCGCATAGGCTCGCGGCCGCAGAGTCGAGTCAGACTTCTAGTTATAGGGGTCTGAGGCAGCATTTTGGGATATTGGCGCTGTCGGCTTCTTAATATATACACATTTTTTCGAAACATTTGTACAAACTACAAGTTAACGCTTTCTCTGGCCATAGCAGAGGGCAGATTCTGCAAGTGATTTCAGGGCGGGCAAGCAGTAAGCTGGTGCAGATGCCGAATCGTTCCCACGACGCCTCTCAATGAACCCATTCCCGTTGCGTGACCTATAGGTACACCGCTGTGCGCTGCGATGTTCGCAAGACATCCCTGTAACTCACCTTGCATTGTGACGCCACAGCACACGAAAAACAGGTAGATCTTTGGGGAGCGGAAACTCATCAGAAAACTGGGTCGGAAGCATAGCCATCCGCATGAATCCTCCGGAACCTGGGGACGGGACGGCTGCGCTCAGAACGATCCCCAAAGTCACCGCACAGTCTTGTCACATCATTTGGTAGGCAAATAATAGGCACAAACCAATAAAATTACGCATGTTTACTGTTTACTCATTTATTTCCAGTGTTAGCCACCGCCAGCGCGGCAGTGGGGCCGGCGCGGTGAGACAGGCCGGCCGCAGTCAGTCCGGTCGTCGGGTCAGCGGAGTCATTGTTGACAGAGGCGGCCGAGTGCGCGACTCCCGAGAACCCTCTGGGCTCGGCCGGCCCGCTCAGCTCCGGGTGGTCTCGCGAACTCCTCAAACAGGCGACTTGTGTGCACAGTGGCACGTGACGAATAGCTAACTAATGACACAGTCGAGAGGAGTGTCCAATAGGGCTTTATTAGCGGGCTTTAATTCACAGCCATGAATTCACACCCAGCCGCAGCCGTGCTGAGCCTCACCTGGTACGCCAATTTCTGCGAAAGCACTTCAGTAGATGGCAGAATGGACTTGACTCCTGAAAGAAAGGACACATGTTAGGCATATTCCTTCGTTGGCGAGCATAAACATCTTTGTCTAAATCAGATCGCCTTATGTTCAGTGAAAGGTATGCGAGCCAGAACAGATACCTACTGGTGGTTCACGTCTCCTTTTCTCCAAGATAGCGGTATAGGTATACGGTACGCCTAAGCCTTCGAGGTAGCTGATGTAGATGATGTTTCCCTGACCTTGGTCCTATAGTCGCGGTATCGTCGCGGTATAAATAGTAAGGTATCGTCTTTTTTTGGGAAGGCGGGGGATGGGAATATGGGTCGGCCAACGTTCGATCAGTCGTAACGAGATGACCCCGGTCTGTTAGGTATACAACCTCTTATCGTATCACTAAGTTTCCAACCATTTCATAGTTATGTTTATAATTCAACACAAGTTTAAAAAGCCAAAGTACGTCTATTGTACTGAGACGGTTTATTTTATTTGTTCGCAGGTTTTCTGAACCGCAGGTACAGTGCATTGCGGTGATGCACCAAAATGTTGTGTCGGCCTTGGATCAGACCGATGCGACCAGATGGAATAGGTATCAGACGCCCGCGAGGAAGAAATCGAGGCCGGGGAGGTGACAACCGGATTCCGAAAGGTTGTCGAAACTTACTGGCACGGTGCTGGCAAGTCTTTCATTTTTGTCAAACGGAGTTAAAACCCCTGGACGAATCTGCCATTATTCATCCCACCAGATTCGACCTTAAATCAACTGACTGACCTGAGGTCAAAAAGCTGCGACGGCTGGGCAACCAACCAGGCAAAAACCACCGGAAAGACGTTTTAACGGAATCGATTTTTCTGCATACCTAACATTAAAAATGCTCGACCCACAGCACTGGCCGTTTATCACCATTCGCCGGACATTTTCTGTCAGCCGCCGACGTCCTGCCCAGGTCAGCAGCGGGGTCGCCGTGCCGTGTTTCCCACCTTATCCGGACACGGAAAATGCCGTACCAGTACCGCCAGTCCCCACCACAGGGGCTGTTCCCGGTTTGTCACGGGTCGCGGTGGTCGGCTGGGACGGACTCCCTGATTTAGGGTTTCGCTATATGATGGGCGCTGTGAATCGTGTCACAGACAGGGTGAATTTCTTTTTGTTTTGTTGAGAGCAAGCCCTTTCGGCCTATCATTTAGGCCTACATTTTTTAAGCCTATATTTTTAGACCATTGTAGAGCTATGGGATGTTAGGACAGGGCGTAGACATTGGGCTGTGCGGGACACCGACAGTGAGCCGCGGAGGCGAGACCGTCCCGATGGGACCGGATTGCCCCGTTTTGACAGTCCGCCCGCCTCCCAAACGGTCACCACGGCGAGGATTTACATTTTACAGATCCCGACCTCATCCACCGGTTGTCAGACCTGGGGAACCGCCAGCCCGAAGAGAAAGCATCAGGGGGATGCGGATGGGTTTGTTCTGGGGACGGATGATGGACAGAGTGAAGGGGTCGGCGACTTTTCGGGTGGTGGGGGCTCGGTGCCGGCCGGAGGGATCGGTAACAGTTGGAGTTCATTGGCTGGCGAGCTCGGTGACAGATGGGAGTGAGGCTCTGTGACAGGTGGGAGTGAAGCTCGGTGACAGGTGGGACTGGGTGTGAGGCTCAGTGACAGGAGTGAGGCTCGATGACAGGTAGGAGTGAGGCTCGGTGACAGGGTTGGCTCCCGGTGGCCATGGCAGCGCCGCTCACCTCTGCCGTTCCCGTTCTGTGCGCCGTTGGCCGCCATGTTGTCTCCGTCCGTCTCGCTCTGGCCTCAGTTCCGTGGAGCACCTGTGCGCTGTCACCGGGACAGCACACCGCACCTGACCGCCGCGCCGCGGGCCGGCGACTGCCGCCCGCCGCCCGCGTCACCGGTATACCGGTCCGCCCCCCCCCCCCCGCCCCGCCCGGCGCGGCGCGACTTTCCCGCCGGCCCCGACCGCGGCCCGGCGCGCTGGCGGAACGGGCGCGCCTCTGCCGTTCGACACACGGCGCGCCGTTTCGCAACACGCGCCGCGCCGTGCCGTGCCGTGCGTAGCGAAATCGGCGACTCCCGGAGTCAGCGGAGCCGGAGCCGGCCCCCAGGCCGCGGCTGGACGACGTGGGCAACCCGCGCACCTAACTGCAGCTTCAGCGTGAGAGGGGCACTTCACAGCTGAGCTGGAGCGGTCTGAGCAGGTGAGCTGGAACGGTCTGTGCAGTTGAGCTGGAGCGGTCTGTAGGTGAGCTGGAAGGGTCAGTACAGGTGGGCTGGAGCGGTCTGAACTGTGGAGGTGGAGCGGTCTGAGCAGTTGAGCTGGAGCGGTCAGTACAGGTGGGCTGGAACGGTCTGTTCTGGTGGGCTGGACTGGAACGGTCAGTACCAGTGAGCTGGAAAAGTTATTGATAAGTTTGCACATGTCGGGGAGCAGTCTGTGCAGGTAGGGAGCAGTCTGCTTAGGCGGGGGAGCGATCTGTACAGGTAGGGGAGCAGTCGCAATCGCTGAAAGTTTTAAAACAATTATTCTGTCGGTGAAGCTATGGTGAACGTTTACTTTTTCTTGAGATGAAGTCACTTGTTCTGACAAGTGACCTGCTCTTGAATCACTCGGATCTGACAGCTTCACATATGTGAGATAGTGTACCTGTTTATGTTCCCGAAACATTACCTAGTGTCTCACGTCTCCCGTTTTGTATTACTTTAGATATGACGGAGACGGGTGTTCTCCAAAGTTTTGACAGGATCGGCGGAGTCTTTTGGCATCCGCTCCTGTCCACTTTTAGGGTGCGCTCGCCACAGACTTGGGCGGAAACTTGACGCGATTCTGACCACGTTTTTCAGCGTTTGATTTGGCTGGTAATTGCGTTTGGATGCCGACCTTCATCTCGGCGCAGTCCCGCGACCTCCGGAGGCCTATCGATGCGTGCAGGTATTCACGTAAAGTGGCCCTCGCCCGGCGGGGCTGGCGCGGCGCCGCGTCTAACGCGATGGACAAACGCTGCTGGTGTCCGGTCCCGCGTCCCGACGTGGTTATAGTGTCACTTCTAAAAAGCTACGGCTGGCTTGTTTAGCGATTATCTCCCTGCCGTGAACCACGGCGCTAACAAGTTTGCTGAATGTAGGCAGACGGAGGCCGCCCGGCGCCCTCCCGCCGACGGCACGGATGGAGTCGGCCCAGGACCCACAGCCGGACACCAACAGACGGGATACAGGACCCACAGGACCCAAAACTGGACACCTACAGAAGGGATACAGGACCCACAGCCGGACACCAACAGACGGGATGCAGGACCCACAGAACCCACAGCCGGACACCAACAGACGGGATACAGGACCCACGGCCGGACACCTTCAGACGGGATACAGGACCCACGGCCGGACACCAACACGCGGGACCCACAGGACCCACAGCCAGACACAGACGGGATACAGGACCCACAGCCGGACACAGAACGGCCACAGTACCCGCAGTCGCTCACCTACAGACAGTGCCGCTGTCTGCACAGACCTCACCAGGCCACCCGGGACGGAAGTACAGTCTGTCTTAAAAGTACCGCGCAAAGTGACGGTGGATCCATCGAGCCTGATTGAGCAAGGGCCTGCTAAATTTGGGTCACCGAAGCAATTGACATCCTTGTCCATTCCCTAGGTCAATTGGTCAGTGACTTTTAAATTAAAACAGGCCCTTTCTCGGTCAGGCTTGACGGATCCACCGCCACTTTGCGCGGTACTTTTAAGACAGACTGTACATAGGACGCCGGGCCCCGCGGAACGCAGCCGGTCAGGGTGCAGGCACGCCATCGACACCTGCTGGGAGTGAAATATCGCGGCTGGTCAGAGTCACCCTATAGCCACAGCCACTCGAGTTCAGGTCCCAGTCAGGCGGCAGTGACACACTCTGGCTGGGTGATGACCACTCACTCATTCAGCCCGTTAACGTGACGGGCACTGGACAGACGCGAGACCAGGTGTCGGGCCCGGTACCTACCCCGGTGTTCGCCAACAGTCCAGAGAGTTCATACCACGGAGAATAAGGTCTTGTGGTTGTATTTGAGCGCGCGAGCGTATGTTTGTGTCCCACATTCTTCCATTTGCTTGCAATACTGGACGTGAGAAGACAACAATTCCTTTCAAATATAGATCCCATTCAAATATTCCCGATTTAGACATTTAATGGCAGTTTTGATTCACGCGCCCTGCAACCTGGGAAAACACACTGTCTGGGCAGGCTGGCCGGTGTATATTTGACTCGCAGCGCCGCAGCGCATTAGTTATACCACCCGAGCCCGCACGCTGAGCCCACACATATCGATACATCGCAGACCGGCGCCTATCCGCCGCCACAGCTCTGGCACCTACCCTTCGAAGAGCGACTCGGAAATTTGACTATACATACCGCTGAATGCGTACATAAATAACGTGGAACGCGGCGCAGATCACCAGGAATATAATCATACACAACCGTCTGTACATGGCTGGTACCTGCCTTCTTCCCGCCGGCGACAGGCGCACCCCGACCCGCCAACACGTCCTGAGCACACACGTGTCAGGATACACACACATAGATACACCCAAACCGCCGAGATCGCGCCACTGATTCGCGTCCCACCCGTCCCTTCACCTCCCGAACACACTGTGACTGTCGTCTGAGCCCAGCGGGGTGGCCTAGCCGGGTCACGGGTACCGCAGACCTCACCTACCGAACAAACTGCGACTGTCGTCTCAGCCGGGCATAAACAGATAAAGCAATGGGGCGGCTACGGACTGCCCAGCCGGGACACTGGTACCGGCGAGTAACTGTGCGCCAAACCCAGAGAGCGCGATGACTGGACCGGCCGCCGACAGCCCACTCTGCTCCGGATACCCAGGGAGCGGGGTGGCTAAGACAGCCCACTCTGCCCGCCAAACCCATAGAGCGGGGTGACTACAGACTTACAGCCCACCCTGCTCCGGATACCCAGAGAGCGTGCTCCGGATACCCAGACAGCGGGGTGGCTGCAGACAGCCCACTCTGCCCGGGATATCCAGAGAGCGTGCTCCGGATACCCAGGGAGCGGGGTGGCTAAGACAGCCCACTCTGCCCGCCAAACCCATAGAGCGGGGTGACTACAGACTTACAGCCCACCCTGCTCCGGATACCCAGAGAGCGTGCTCCGGATACCCAGACAGCGGGGTGGCTGCAGACAGCCCACTCTGCCCGGGATATCCAGAGAGCGTGCTCCGGATACCCAGGGAGCGGGGTGGCCAAGACAGCCCACTCTGCCCGACAAACCCAGAGAGCGGGGTGACTGGACCGGCCACCAACAGCCCACTCTGCTCCGGATACCCAGAGAGCGGAATGGCTACAGACAGCCGAATCTGCCAGTGATAACCAGAGGGCTAGACAGCCGCACCGGCCTCTGACAGCCGACTCTGCCCGCTCGACATACGCAGACAGCCCGATAGCTACAGATCAGCCCACTCGGGGCCTCCGAGGCGGTCGCACCGGTTCGCTAATAGTCCCCCAATGATCTGGGTACGGCCACACTGTATCTGGACGGCCAGACACACACTCTCCGGAGCCTCCGGCGCTCCACCAGTCTCCGGAGGTCCGGACACAGTCTCCGGAGGTCCGGACACAGTCTCCGGAGGTCTGGACACCCCCTAACACAGTCTCCGGGGGTCCGGGCATTCAGTCACAGTCTCCGGGGGTCCGGGCATTCAGTCACAGTCTCCGGGGGTCCGGACACAGTCTCCGGAGGTCTGGACACAGTCTCCGGAGGTCTGGACACCCCCTAACACATGATCCGGGGGTCCGGGCATTCAGTCACAGTCTCCGGGGATCCGGGCAATCAGTTACACAGCCGGATATACGGACGCGCTCAGCCGTAGTCGTGGCTGCTCTCCGGAGGCCCGGGTCTCCCTCCCCCAGCCGGAGGTTCGGGCGCTCAGTGGGAGGCCTGGGACCTCCCCCACACAGCCGGAGGTACGGGCCGGCTCCCTCGCCCGGTCTCCAGAGGACGGGGCTCCGGAGGCACTCAGTCGTAGTCGTGGCTGCTCTCCCGTTTGGACAGCGTGGTGGCCTCCTCCGAGTCGACAGCGGCGTCGGAGGCGTCGGCGCGGTTCCGCACCCGGCTCAGTCCCTCCGTCACGCCGGACTCGGTCAGACTGCAACACGACAGACGACTCAGTAACGACACGGGTAACGACACGGTTCCTCCGTCACGCCCGACTCGGTCAGACTGCAACACAAAGGTAACGACACAGGTAACGACTAACGACACAGTCCCTCCGTCACGCCCGACTCGGTCAGACTGCAACACAAAGGTAACGACACAGGTAACGACTCAGTAACGACACGGGTAACGACACGGTTCCTCCGTCACGCCCGACTCGGTCAGACTGCAACACGACAGACGACGGTAACGACACAGTGATCGGAATACGCATATAGCAAGGAGCAGCGGCATATTCCAAATATCCCAACTCTTATAAAAAAGTTTATAGTAAAATGAAGTAAAACGAAGTAAATAATACAAAATATAAAATGAAGTGACACCGAAGTGATGCAAATTGCATGTTGTTGGCCTCTTCAGGCAAATTTCTATGATCATTAATCCCCTCACATGTTTAAGGTGAAGTCGTACGAACACAAACAGTGATATGTCTGAGCGCCTGTTACGGACGGGCGGCCGGCGTCGGGCAGATACTCACACGTCATCGAGCTCCAGTTCGTCATCCGACAGCGGCACCTGCCAGGGAACGGGAGAAACAGATCAGCAGAGGGACTACATGATACAGCACAGCAATCAGTGCATACTACATACAACAGACAGCGGCACCTGGCGGGGAACGGGAGGAATGGATCAGCAGAGGACTACATGATACAGCACAGCAGTCAGTAATAGGGCTGCGGAGTCGGAGTCGGAGTCGGAGTCGGTCGGAGTCGACAGTTGTGACCGGAGTCGGAGTCGAAGTCGGAGTCGATTTTAGAAACCCGAGCCGGAGTCGGAGTCGGAGTCACCGAAAATCTGTCGACTCCGCAGCCCTGCTAGGTCTGCGGAGTCGGAGTCGGGAGTTGGAGTCGGTCGGAGTCGACAATTCTGCCCGGAGTCGGAGTCGGAGTCGGAGCTGGTTTTTGAAAGCCGGAGTCGGAGTCGGAGTCGGAGTCGCCGAAAATCCATTGACTCCGCAGCCCTGGTCAGTATATACAACAGACAACAGACAGCGGCACCTGCCAGGGAACGGGAGGAATGGATCAGCAGAGGACTACATGATACAGCACACCGTCAGACCACACAACAGTCAAACAGCGGCACCTCACGGGACGGGGTCAGCAGACGGGCCTCATTGACGAGGCTACTACTACAGCACAACAGTCAGCCGGACCACACTGCCGCGGTGCCAGCTACCACCGCACAATTACTGCGGTCCGCCTCCCAGCAGCGGTACAAGCTACCACCGCACAATTACTGCGGTCCGCCTCCCAGCAGCGGTACAAGCTACCACGGCACAATTACTGCGGTCCGCCTCCTAGCAGCGGTGCCAGCTTCCACGGCACAATAACTGCGGTCCGCCTCCCCGCAGCAGCGGTGCCAGGTGCCAGCTACCACCGCACAATTACTGCAGTCTGACTCCCAGCAGCGGCGGCGGTGGGAGCTCGGTCAGACCATACCACCGGCGCTCGGTAACACATCTATCTATACCGGGCCGGGCTTATGGTGTGTCAGAGATAAGTCGAAGTCGGACCGCAATTCTCCGAGACATTGCAATCACTCGCACCACTGCATTCAACTGTAGCTCAGCTGCTCATTTATCAAAACATTATGATGACGCTCGCGGCAATAAAGTGCTTCCAGATCGCGCTAGGACGAATGTAAATCAATGCTGCGCGGTGCACATATTCGTCATCGCATGCATGAGAGAGCAAATGCATACCATTGTTAATTGTACATAAACTTTTCACCCAAGGCGACAAGAAGCACAGCTGCATGGAGCCTTTCAGCCTCCAGCCGTACACTGCTGATTGTTGAAGAGGACAATTAACGCCGCATTTCATTAATTCGAAAAAGGGCAGTTGTACACGGCGGCAACGATACTATGGATCTCTGAGCCGACCATAACACTAATCAATATCATAGACGTCATACAGATTTTCGATGCCTAAAAGCTTCCTTCCGTTGGTGAGATGGGGTGACCGCCCCAAGAAGTGTGTGTGTGTGGGGGGGGGGGGGGGGGTTAGCGAGTAACTAGTGGTATTGACTGCAGTACCTGGAAATAGGGTTTGACGGGTAGCGGGTGACCGTACCTGGAAGTAGTGGTTTGGCGGGTAATTATTGACCGTACCCCGGAGTAGGGTTTGGTGGGTAATTATTGACCGTACCTGGAAGTAGGGGTTGCTGTCGGCCGGCCGGAACTTGTAGGCCGTGACGGCGAAGAACACGTAGGTGGCCATCTCTCTGAACATGTCGTCCAGCCAGGCGTACTGGAACGGCACCATTATCTGCCGCAGAGGAACGGGGGAGTTAATGGAACGGCACCATTACCAGCCAGGCGTACTGGAACGGTACCATTATCTGCCGCAGAGGAACGGAGGACTTAATGGAACGGCACCATTATCTGCCGCAGAGGAACGGCAGAGGTAATGGAACGGCACCATTACCAGCCAGGCGCGTACTGGAACGGCACCATTATCTGCCGCAGAGGAACGGCGGAGTTAATGGAACGGCACTATTACCAGCCAGGCGTACCTGGAACGGCACCATTATCTGCCGCAGAGAAACGGAGGACTTAATGGAACGGCACCGTTATCTGCCGCAGAGAAACGGCGGAGTTAATGGAACGGCACTATTACCAGCCAGGCGTACTGGAACGGTACCATTATCTGCCGCGGAGGAACGGGGAAGTTTATGGAACGGCACCTGATTATCTGCCGGGCGTACTGGAACGGCACCATTATCGTCCGGGGGACGGGGGAATGAATGGAACGGCATCATTACCAGCAAGGCGTACTGGAACATTATCTGCAGCAGGTGTGCGGAATGTGATACCGGAACGGCACCATTATTTGCCAATAGGATAGCGAGTGGTCTGTTGGGACAGCACCATTACCTGGCAGCGAGCGGGATTATAAATAGAACGGCACCATTACCAATCGGAGCGGGGTTATAACAGTAACTAGAATAGCATCATGATCTGCCGGGGGAGTGAGGGTTCATTTGGGACATCGGACCACTATCATCGTACACAACGGGACACCACTTTTTAATACAGGCAAAGTGAAACGTATACTGTTTTTGATAGCCCTAACATTTCCTTTAAGTCTTTAAAAAGCTTTAAGAAATCTTAAAGAAGTCTTTTGAATTCAATCGAATACAACCATCCATTTCTGCACAGAGTGCAAATAAGGTCCCGTCCGCCCATTCCGCCATACCGTCCATACCGCCCTACCGTCGCGTCGGCCCAGTACCTGCAGCAGGTAGACGACGATGCGTGTGAAGTAGATGTAGCACACGATCATGATGTAAAAATGCCGGAACAGCTTCAGCTTCTTGAGGTTCATTGCGGCCTTGCCGTCCGTCTCGGAGGCGTCCTGGAGATGCCGGATCGACCTGAGGCGTAGTGTCGGTACCCAGGTCAGGTCAGCTCAGGTCAGAGTGTGACCTGGCGCTACGATCACAGTGAACGTGAAAAACACAGCATACGGGGAAAGACTGGAAAACTTGCACAACGTAATTACCAACATTCCAACTGCTCAATTCAATAAAAACACTGGGCATGGGGCCTGTTAATTTGAAAAAAAGATAAAATATCGCTAGAAAGGAGAGTAGATCAGGTAGAAAATACCAAATGAAAAAGCAGTAGATAAAATATAAATCACCTAGCATTCGCCCACAAAATAGACAACCGACAAAATTTAATTTTGCCAGCCATGAGATCAGCTAGATTTTAGTCTCTTTCTCTAAAGTTGAATGGCGATAGAGCCGAGCCGCCGGTCCGTCCCCGGGGAGCCGCCGCCGCCACTGACCAGACCACCGGGAAGAGGATGGCGCCGCAGCAGATCAGGTCGAGCAGGTAGAGCATCTCGCGCCACGTGGTGTGCACCGACTCGCCCTCCTCGCTCTCCTCCAGGATGATCTGCGCCACGTTCGCCAGCAGCTGTCGGCGGCGAGCAACAAACGTAACTGTCAGCACCGGGTCACAGAGAACAGACCGCCAGCAGCTGTCCGCGACAGCAACGACCGAGAACATCAGCGACAGCTCACGGAGAACAGCTGTGAGAGGGAGCACCGACCGCAACTGTCAGCACCGACCGACAGAGGCGGGAACACGTCCACACCGGCTCACAGGGGACGAGGCACCGCCCGTTGCCGCCAACAACCACCCACAGACAGGTAAGGACACGCGAACACTGACTCATTCAAGACAACCGGTCCACACCGGCCCACGGGCTGACAGACAGGGTCCACACCGGCTCACGGGGGCAGACAGGGTCCACACCGGCTCACGGGGGCAGACAGGGTCCACACCGGCTCACGGGGGCAGACAGGGTCCACACCGGCTCACGGGGTGACAGACAGGGTCCACACCGGCTCACGGGCTGAGAGACAGGGTCCACATCGGCTCACGGGCTAAGAGACAGGGTCCACACCGGCTCACGGGGGCAGACAGGGTCCACACCGGCTCACGGGGACAGACAGGGTCCACACCGGCTCACGGCGGGGTGACAGACCGGGTCCACACCGGCTCACGGGGACAGACAGGGTCCACACCGGCTCACGGGGGCAGACAGGGTCCACACCGGCTCACGGGGTGACAGACAGGGTCCACACCGGCTCACGGGGGCAGACAGGGTCCACACCAGCTCACGGGGGAGGGGGCAGACAGGGTCCACACCGGCCCACGGGGTGACAGACCGAGTCCACACCGGCTCACGGGGACAGACAGGGTCCACACCGGCTCACGGGGGCAGACAGGGTCCACACCGGCCCACGGGCTGAGAGACAGGGTCCACACCGGCTCACGGGGGCAGACAGGGTCCACACCGGCTCACGGGGTGACAGACAGGGTCCACACCGGCTCACGGGGGCAGACAGGGTCCACACCGGCTCACGGGGTGACAGACAGGGTCCACACCGGCTCACGGGCTGAGAGACAGGGTCCACACCGGCTCACGGGGTGAGACAGGGTCCACACCGGCTCACGGGGACAGACAGGGTCCACACCGGCTCACGGGCTGACAGACAGGGTCCACACCGGCTCACGGGGGCAGACAGGGTCCACACCGGCTCACGGGGGCCAGACAGGGTCCACACCGGCTCACGGGGTGACAGACAGGGTCCACACCGGCTCACGGGGGCAGACAGGGTCCACACCGGCTCACGGGGGCAGACAGGGTCCACACCGGCTCACGGGGTGACAGACAGGGTCCACACCGGCTCACGGGCTGAGAGACAGGGTCCACACCGGCTCACGGGGTGAGACAGGGTCCACACCGGCTCACGGGGACAGACAGGGTCCACACCGGCCCACGGGGACAGACAGGGTCCACACTGGCCCACGGGCTGAGAGACAGGGTCCACACCGGCTCACGGGGGCAGACAGGGTCCACACCGGCCCACGGGCTGAGAGACAGGGTCCACACCGGCTCACGGGGGCAGACAGGGTCCACACCGGCTCACGGGGACAGACACGGTCCACTGTCCACACCGGCTCACGGGCACAGACAGGGTGCGCGCGGCCGGCCGAGTCGCCCCGCCGGTAGCGCCGGGACCCACCTGCAGCGGAATCACGATCATGAAGAGCTTTTTGTCGCGGTCGGCCAGCACGTGTTTGATGAACGTCCAGCCGGTGCCCAACATGATAATGGTGACGAACAGCAGCGCCCCCTTCATCCTGCCGGCCGCCGCAGGGAGGGGGGGGGGGGGTCAGCCGTGTCAGCGCGACGGTCCATCCAGGTAGTTACCAACAGGAGAAGAGGGGGGGGGGGGTGTGAATCAGTCTGCTGTCTTACAGTTTCTACCAATAATGACTATCCACCATCCGGAGACCACACTTTATTGTCATCCCATTTAGCACGTCTGATTCACAAATACGCTGATATTTACGGACATACACAGGTGAATGACATATCAAATGCCACGATCACATTGAACGGCTAGCCTAGAGGCCGGAGTCCACGGGCGCCATGCCCTGGATCTGCGGGTGGGTGGGTGGAGCTGCTCTCTGTGGGGGGGGGGGGGGGGGCAGAGTCTGCTCTCAACACACAGGGGACCCGTGCGCTCACGGGTGTGGGGGGGGGGGGAGGGAACTGCTCTACGGGGGGATGTGGTGGAGGCGGGTCTACTCACAGGTGGGTGATGTAGAACAGGATGGCCCACGCCTCGATGTGGAACCCGTTGACCTCGATGACGTGGTAGTTGATGCCGTGGAAGAGCAGCGAGAGCGCCTTCATCAGACCCAGCACGGCCATCACGTAGTGCGTCTTGTACACGTCCGCCCGGCTGTCGACACACCAGAGCAGGGGAGGGAGTCAGTCCATGTGGCACACCAGGGCAGCGGGGCAGTCTATGTCACGAGGTGCGTCTTATACTTACACGCCCGCCTGGCTGTCGGCCAAAGAGGGCAGGGGTCAGTCTGTGTGTCAGCCTAGGGACGGGGAGGGCCAGTCTGTGTGGCAGACAAGGGACAGGGAGGGCCAGTCTGTGAGGCCGAAGGGGGGTCACTGTTTGGACGGATTAGGCGCCCAGTGCGCGGTCCATCCCCGTCACAACCAACGGCTTAGTTCCGTTATGTTTAAAGAAGCCCGACGCTGTGTGCCGCGCCACCCACTTGCTCTTCCTAAGTATGAAGATCCAGAAGCAGGACGATATGAAGAAGAGGACGGCCATCATGAAGTAGAGCGCCGGCAGCGGCATCTCTCCGGCCGACAGGTAGCTGTCCATGTTGCGCTCGATCATCTCCACCTGTCGGGCGGCCACGCACAGTCAGACCGGGGCCAGCACACAGAGACACAGCGGTCAGTGGCGGCCACACAGTCAGACGGGGGCCAGCACACACATACAGCGGCCAGAGGGGAGTGGCGGCCGCACAGTCAGACGAGGGCCAGCACACACAGGCACAGCAGTCAGAGGGGAGTGGTGGCCGCACAGTCAGACGGAGGCCATCACACACAGTCAGACGAGCGCCAGCACACACAGACACAGCGGCCAGAGGGGAGTGGCGGCCACACAGTCAGACGGGGGCCATCACACACAGTCAGACGAGGGCCAGCACACACAGACACAGCGGCCAGAGGGGAGTGGCGGCCACACAGTCAGACGGGGGCCAACACACAGACACAGAGGCCAGAGGGGAGTGGCGGCCACACAGTCAGACGGGGGCCAGCACACAGAGACACAGCGGCCAGAGGGGAGTGAAGTAGACACAGTCAGACGGGGGCCAGCACACACACAGACACAGCAGCCAGAGGGGAGTGGCGGCCGCACAGTCAGACGGGGGCCCGGTGGGGCAGCACACACAGACGTGTTGTGATCAGAGGGGAGTGGCACGCACACAGTCACAGACACAGGGTTGGGCAGAGGTGGGTGACTCGACCGCGGCACTCAGAGCGTACAATTATCCATCCCACACCACCCAGCGGCTGAGCTGAGCCGCCAGCCGCCACTCGGCACCGACTCGGCCCGGCCTGTGACCGACGCCAGCCGCCACTCTGTCCTGCCGCACACTCCCCGTCCCTCCGGCCTGCAGAGCCACACCGCCCACACCCCCCGTCCCTCCGGCCTGCAGAGCCACACCGCCCACACCCTCCGTCCCGCCGGCCCGCAGAGCGGCACTCACCGTCCTGTCGGCCCGCAGAGCGGCACTCACCGTCCTGTCGGCCCCAGAGCGGCACTCGCCGTCCTGCCGGCCCGCAGAGCGGCACTCCCCGTCCCGCCGGCCCGCAGACCGGCACTCACCGTCATGCTGGCCCGCAGAGCGGCACTCAGCGTCCTGCCGGCCCGCAGAGCGGCACTTTCCGTCCTGCCGGCCCGCAGAGCGGCACTCACCGTCCTGCGGCCCGCAGAGCGGCACTCCCCGTCCTGCCGGCCCGCAGAGCGGCACTCACCGTCCTGCCGGCCCGCAGAGAGGCACTCACCGTCCTGTCGGCCCCAGAGCGGCACTTACCGTCATGCTGGCCTCCACCTTCTGGCTGCCGTAGTTCTGGCAGTTGTGGAAGAACAGGTTGTACAGACCCTCGCCGCCGTGGGACAGCACGCGGATCACAAACTGAAACACCAATCACGTGGAGACGGTGAGTTCTCAGCAGGGACCCCCAACGACACCTCCTTTTTACGCTCAGCGTACGAACCCATTTTCTGATACCAATTTGCTCGTCACCGACAATTAAACTCTTGTACATTAATCATTGTTCCTTTGTGTTAAAATCCATCGAGCCCTCACCACACAGTCCACACCGACACCCATACGCGGCGGTCCCGGCCCCACCCCCCCCACCCCGCCGCCCGCCCCCAGAGTCGCCGCGGGGTCCCGTCCGAACTCACGGCGGTGCTGAAGACGGGCTGGCCGGTGGCGTTGTCGGTGCGCTGCTGCAGCAGAATGGGCGCGAACGAGGCGCACCGCTGCTGGCCCGGCATCGCGGCCGCCGGCTCCGGGGCTGCCGGCATCGCGGGACCGTCACAGAGTGTACCGGGACACTCACAGAGCTGCCTGCCACGCAGAGACAAAGGTTACACCGCTGTCGGTACCGCGGGACCGTCACAGAGTGTACCGGTACACACACACAGACACGGATACACAGCTCACACCGCTGCCGGCACCGCGGGACCGTCACAGAGTGTACCGGGACACTCACACACAGTGATACACACCGACACAGGTCAGAGCGCTGCCGACATAGCGGCCGGCTCCGGGGCTGCCGGCACAAACTGGTCACAAGCAGAACACACAGACACAGGCACAGTTTGCAACACAAACAACAAAAAGTCACACGATACTCCATACGCACTTTGAAAGGACCGTGCGGCGTCAGCGGCACACAGCTGCACACACGGGTCACCCAGTCCCAGCAGTACGTGGGTCACCCAGCCACAGCGGTGCACGGGTCACCCAGCCACATGGTACACGGGTCACCTAACCACAGCGGTACACATGTCACACAGCCACAGCGGAACACGGGTTACACAGCCATAGCCGTGGTACACGGGTCACCCAGTCACATGGTACACGGGTCACCCAGTCACAAGGTACACGGGTCCCCCAGCCACATGGTACACGGGTCACCCAGCCACAGCGGTACACGGGTTACACAGCCCCGCTGTGGTACACGAGTCACACAGTCACAGCGGTACACGGGACACACAGCCACACGTACCGGCGGTACACGGGACACACAGCCACACATACCGGCGGTACACGGGTCGCCCAGCCACACGTACCGGCGGCGGCGGTGGGCGCGGCGGCGGCCAGGCGCCGGTGGCGCTGTTTGTAGAGCGCCGAGCCGGCCAGAGCGCCCAGTAGTGAGTCGCGCTTGCTGCGGGCCTCGTCATCCGAGGCGCGCGACGAGTCTGTCTCGATGACAATGTCGGTCACACTGCGACTGCAGTTCAGCAGGACACTGTGAGATGTAACGGAGAGGGCAGGTCACACACTGCGACTGCAGGTCACACACTGCGGCTGCAGGTCACACAATGCGACTGCAGGTCAGCAGGACACTGATAGAACAGGGCTAGCAGGAGGGGGAGGTCAGACACTGCGAGCTAAAACAGGAAGGGCGTCGGCGTCGGCACATACCCAGAGACCAAATACTAGAGAGTGGAGGGGCGAGTGGAAAAGGTCAGCCCGCTGCTGCACGCAGCTCGCCGCTCGGCGCGGACGATGAGGCAGATAAGCGTAAGAGCGCCGGACAATTAGTCTGCCTAATCTCAATGATTGCCAAGAACAACCGATGGCAGTAAGTGAGCACGTGAGCACTAGCCGTTCCCGGTGCTCCGCCGACCGTTTCTGTTTCAGTGAGCCGTGCACTGACTGTCTTTGTTCTGTTTGCACTGTGCTTCTGTTTCAGTTTGTTTGGGGGCCTGACCGTTTCTGTTTGGGTTTGTTTGAGCTCGGTACTGACGATTTTTGTTTAGGTTTGTTTGAGCTCGGTACTGACTGTTTCTGTTTGGGTTTGTTGGAGGCCGGTTCTGACCGCTTCAGCTGTTTAGGCTTGTTTGAGTCATGTACTGACCATTTATGTTAGGGTTTGTTTGAGCTCGGTACTGATTATTTCTGTTTGGATTTGTATGAGCTCGGTACTGATTGTTTCTGTTTGGATTTGTATGAGCTCGGTACTGATTATTTCTGTTTGGGTTTGTTTGAGCTCGGTACTGATTATTTCTGTTTGGATTTGTATGAGCTCGGTACTGATTATTTCTGTTTGGGTTTGTTTGAGCTCGGTACTGATTATTTCTGTTTGGATTTGTATGAGCTCGGTACTGATTATTTCTGTTTGGGTTTGTTTGAGCTCGGTACTGATTATTTCTGTTTGGATTTGTATGAGCTCGGTACTGATTATTTCTGTTTGGGTTTGTTTGAGCTCGGTACTGATTATTTCTGTTTGGATTTGTATGAGCTCGGTACTGATTATTTCTGTTTGGGTTTGTTTGAGCTCGGTACTGATTATTTCTGTTTGGGTTTGTTTGAGCTCGGTACTGATTATTTCTGTTTGGATTTGTATGAGCTCGGTACTGATTATTTCTGTTTGGGTTTGTTTGAGCTCGGTACTGATTATTTCTGTTTGGGTTTGATTGAGCTTGGTACTGATTATTTCTGTTTAGGTTTGTTTGAGCTCGATACTGACCGCTTCTGTTTGAGGTCGAAGGTAAAGTAGATGATGGCGGCGCTCGTGTCCTGGCCGGTGATGGGCGACGACAGCGTGCAGTGGCTCATGTGGCCGTCCAGGTAGGGGTTGACGGCGTCACTCATGGTCCGGTCCAGGGTGAACCCGTACTGCCGGACACACACAGAGAGCACACAGCCGTCAGGGCCGCGGACGGCAGCGCGGCGAATCAGACAGAAGCCGACCACAACGGAAACAACACCGTCTGAGTACATCTCCGGGACAGGCATACGAACATCTCTACAGCCAAAACTCACGATCGCCTGCTGAGCGACTTACCACTCCGGATAAATCATCAACTTGGAACGAAGAGATGTTGACGGTGAGATCACCTCCAGTTAGGAAGCCAAAGGTGCTCAGCGGAAAGAAGCGGCGGTAGTCATTCTGAAAAAAGAACATCTATTAATCATCGCCTGTGAGTGGTTTGGGGCAGCGGAATACTCGTGCGGGGATGGGTTGGTCTTCTCCGACACTCCTTTCATGCTGTGTTTGGCAGTATGACTGCATCAGCTCAGCTGATGTCACAACTGGCAATGATGCTATCCAATCACCGACCTTGCAGCCTCGGATAAGACACGGACACGGACGGATGATACTCTCTATACATACGGCCTTGGGATGAGACCCCACCCCTTTACCCTTCTCGTTCCTAGCTGAGCTAGAGCTTCGCAAAAAAGCGAGCATATGCGCCATCACGAGACACAGCGACTGGTGCCCAATTTCAAGGTTCAGGCCAACTGGTGACCTCTCAGCTTATGATAAGTGTCCCAAGGTGGGGCTTGGGTTTTGGTGTAAAATCCCTCAAGATTTGCCACGTCTTGCAGTATGAGAGATAAGTGGATGTGGCCAAATATGCCTCCCCCCCCCACACACACACTCAGGTAAAGTCGGCTGAGACCCCCATCCAGGCACAGGATAACCTACTAACCTTACTTTACCCAACCTAGTTTATTTAGCTTTCCTAGGACATTTGGCTTCCACCAAAAGTTATGAAGTCTCTCATAATGTCACTTAGCTGCATAATATTTTGCACCAGCTGACAACAGGTCTGCACAACAGCTGACAACATGTAAGGAGCTTATGGTTAGGAGAGTTAAAAGAAATATACCACTTAATCATGGCGTTTGAACTGAAATAGGAATTTTATAGCTTGAATTGGGACTAGCACATGAGGAATTTTTATGGCCCATTGATCATCACATTTCTCATTCCAAGATTATTCCTTTACACAGGAATTTTCCCTTATGAAAGGATGCCAAGAATGCAGCCACCTGTGGCAGATTCTAATTATCAACCAATCCGCATGCATTTGTTTTAAAATTGGTGGGTAATATTGTAGGTCGACACATAATAAGCTTCAGTTGCCAGCACTATCTAGTATCTAGCCTCCACCAAAGATGGCAAATAGTTCTTCCTATATGAAAATACTTCAAATTCCTTTTTAAAATATTCATGACTTCCTTTCTGATAATTTTATGCAAAAAATATAAAACTGCAGCAAGAAAAGTAATTTGAGGAAAGTCGTATATTTCATTTAAGGACTAAAGATAAGAATATGATTAGCTAGCTTGAGCTGAACACAATTGATCAGTAACTCGGTGCTACATTTTTCCTTGCTCAGCACAGGTTTCTCTAGGAGAATACAAATGAGAATACTAATTAGAAGAGAATTACTTATTGTCTGGTGGGTATCTGAATTGGGGACTTCAGCAGAGGTATGTAACTCAGTACTACATTAGGGCAACACCACTCCATGCAAAATCTGCACTGCACCAGTCAATCATAACCGCACATCACCTGAGTGCCTCCGCGCCAAGGTCTTGTCAAGAATGCCAGCTTCAGTTGGGCAAACTAGACTTCCAGAATCAAAATACTACCCTTATGTCTTTTACTACCCCTCAAAAGTCAGATTACTATGATTAAAACAATATTCTTGTGCTCAGTAAAGAGTTCCAACATTTCTGTTCAACATTATGCATGTTCCTCTGGTATAAGTAGGTAAGCCTGGCGTCCCAGGAAGATGCAATATACCGTTGTAGGCCGTTGTAGGTTGAGGGTTTGTAGGTTTGTAGGGTATGTTGCAGGTTTGTAGGTTGTAGGGTTGTAGGTAAGGTTAGATCAGGTCAGGTTAGGTTTGTTTTGGTTTATATATCTGTTGTCCCAATATGGCATCTTCCTGGGACACCAGGCTTACTAATACCGTTCTTTCTCGAAACACTGGCTTATTTCTAGATGATTGGTGATTAACCCGCGCCCCGTAGGGCTACCGGCGGACCCTACCACCCGTAGGGGGGGGGGGCCGTATCGGCCCCCCCCCCCCTAAGATCTCGGAAAGTTACCGGCCGATTTTCAAAATTCAAACGGCGTTCGATAGCCCCACCCGGGAACTACCTTGTGACCAAATTTCATTGACCTAGGTCAAACCGATGACGTCACAGGTCAGGTCAAAGGTCAGATTTTCACCGTTCACAGGCAATTCAAGAAATGTGCTGTGAAAGCGAGTAAATTGGTAATTTATTGAAAACCATCGATGGTACATTGTTCGTCAAACACATACTTTGCTATCTGAGGTCACTGATACCAGGTCAGGTCACAGCGAGGTCAGGTCACCGGGGTCACAATATGAATGTGTCGTGTGATACATGTTTTATGGTCCATTTTACATGACAAATGCGATTATGTGGGTTAGGCAGCCTTTGGGGCCAGCCTAGGTCATGTTTTTGTGAAGGTCAGGTCAAGGTCAGGTCAAATTAGGTCAAATTTCAAAGTTGATATTTTTGCATAAAATGGGTACCTATCGATTCGATGCAGCTCGTCACGGGGAGTCTGATGGTGGTCTTCGTTTTGCTCTACGAGTTCTAGAATTGCCAAAAATTGAGTTTGAAAATTTGACGTCATCATTTTGAACAGTTTTTTTCGCTATAACTTGGCCAAAAAACGAGGTATCGATCTGAAATTTGGTATGTAGATAGAAGACGGTAGGCACTATCACATTTATTCCGGTTTTTTTCGAAACTCAAAAAACTTTTTGGATTTTTTGGCGAATATATCCAAAAAAATGCTTTTTTGATTTTTGGGGGTCAAAACTCAAAAATTTCAAAAATTCGAGATAGCAGTTTTGTAGCCCTGCCAATTCTACACCTTTTATGTTTTGATCATTTTTCTGTATCTTCAAAGCTGTAGTCCTGACAGGTCTTCTCGCGAAGGTCTTTTTCGGTCGAAAATGACAGAACATGACGTCACTCTGACGTCATTTGTGGCCAACCTATCATAGCCTCTGGAAAAATTTTTGGTCACAATGTGTAAAATTGATGCCCGGAGGGGTCCTGAAAGTTTGGTGGCGATATCTCCAGCCGTTTAGGAGACATCGACCGAAAAGGACAGGGGGGGGCCGTTTCGGCCCCCCCCCCTACGGGGCGGGGGTTAAGAAACAGTCAACATTTATGCCCAAATATGGTCATAAAGAAGCAATGGTAAATATTTACTTTAGGACCGGCACACTTTTTCAAAGGGAAATTTTTGACAATCTTCCATTATTTGACATCCTAAATCAAGAAATGATGCTTACATGTCACTAAAACTGCAAAAAGTCACACAAAAACTTGATAAAATCCAGCCATCTCACCCCGCGTCACGTACCGTACACCGACGAAATTATACGAATGCGGCGATTACGATATAAACAACGTGTTTGCACCGCTGCCATTTGCGAAAAGGAAAAATATGTGCATGTTTAATTCAATGAAAATGACGTCATAATACCAAAAAAAAATACATATTGGCAAAATTTAAATGGTTAAAAATTGGGTGATATGGGGTAGGATAGCAAATTAAACACGGAAAAAATTATCAGAACATAACCTAACCTTACCTAACCTGACCTACTGATATTCGCCTACCCGGGGATAAGGAAAAAGTTGCTCGCATGAATAGATTGCAAGCAATGGTAGGTCAAATATTTTTAGGTTAAGTGATTGTGCATTAGGCTTCAGGCCTTCGGCCTGAAGCCAAATACACAACCACTTAACCTAAAAATATTTGACCTACCATTGCCTGTAATCTCTCCTAAGGCATTGCCTTCGGCACTGCCGCTGCTTCACGACGAAAAATTTCATGACGTCACTTTCCTCACAGTTGAATAGCATCGTTAATATGTATTCACTAAACCTTGGAGCGCAGTGCGTGGCCGGTGGAGTACGCAGTCGGTGGGATCTACGGCGGTGACGGTAAATATTGTATTGGTGCATTTTAACTTATTTGTGCCATGAATGACTATCAGCTATGAAATAAAAAGGTCAAATTATGTCATGCGATATGCTTCTTACTATCACTTGGGGTTCGCAACAAAAGTAATGGCTGCCGGTCCTAAAGTAAATAAATACCGAAGCAATTTTTGTTGCCTCCATTTTTTGATTACAGAAGACTAGTTTGCCCAACTGACTTCAACTTTGCACTTTGCAACACACCTCCAATTGTAGCTCATGGATGCGTCCAAATGATGATGTTGTCCATATGATAAGAATTAAGATGCAGTTCTTGATATACATCTTGACCTAAGTAATATAACAAACTGAAATATAGCAACAGAAAATCTGGACAATAAAAAGGCATCAACACTTTGGTCTTTGACTAGATCGCTGCTGAATCATCCATACGCATTCACTGTAAATTTTGCTTTAGCGACAATAAATGCTCAAATGAGATAATTTTATATGGCGATACACCTAAGCAAAAGTACTGATATTTCTTGATAATTCAAGCGCTTTGTATCACAGCTCCCCCTCTTCTCAATTCTCTCCCCCGCTTGGGGTGCTGCTTGTGGTTGCTATACGATTCCTGCGCTCTTGTTTCAATATCAAACAAAAAGCATTTCTGAAAAAGCTGATGTATATTAAGAAGCTTTTAACTAATATGCACAATTAGACTAATTTTACCATGATATATTACCCAAAAATTTGTTTGAAATAGCAAATAGGATGTAAAATCGTCATTAAAAGTTGATTAGAAACAAAAACTTCCATCACCAATTTATCTACGTCATCAAAAAACGTTACGCGATCATCGATGCATCGATGCCGTCGAAATCTGTTCGGTTAGGTCGTTACGCAAGTTCCTTTTTGCCTTGTGATCTGACGTATCTACTTTGTGAAGTGAGACTTATTAGGACAACTTGATATGGTTGATTACAAAAAGGTCATTTCGTTGCTTTTTGTGGGCAAGCTCTTTTAAAAATACCTTCTTTTGAAAGAATTAAGAACTTCTAACGGCTTAGTTGCGGTTGTCATGGCAACTACGAATTGGATAGAGATAGAAGGGGTTGGCATAGAACAGAGGAACAGAGGTACGGACTCCCCGCCAACCTTGCTCACGCCGCGCACGCGTGTTGCTCTGTTGGCTGTGCTTCATGCGGTTTTCTCGGTTTTCTGTTGGATGATTGCCTGTAATCTTGGTACCCTGTTTCAAGTTAATAGAATTAGACTGTGCGCTTGAAATTCTAAGCAAATTGATTCATCATCAACAAGGATTTGCAATCATGAAGCTGTTGACTCACAACATGCTAACGTCAAAATGTCTGAAGAATGTGGTAACCGGCTATCCTCTTATCATTTCCATCAATTCGGTAAGGATTAATGCGAGACTAACCATTGAGCATTTGTGTTCGACCAGCCATAAAGCATGTCTATTGTCTATGTATGTGCCATAATGGCTCTGTTTATTAATGCCAGCTGCGAGGGGTGTTCTTGTTCTGGGGAACTGCAGCTGAATGCTGCGAAGACAGCAAGGCTTATGTGTTAGATAGAGAGCAATTCAGAATCAGCTTTTAACTAGGTGAATGATTGATGAGTACATGCTGACCATGTGTCATTAGTGGATAACAAAAGTTTTTCTGCCAAAAGTTTTATGGTTTCTGATTTCTGATTGTGATTTGAAACAATCCAGAATCTTCAGGAGAGGTTAACTATATGTTCCTAGTACCTACCTATAGAATAGAATGTACAAATGTATTTGAAGCTATAAATATCACACTATGTGAACCTAAGTATAATGCAGTATGTACTCTTCTGTCCTTGAGTATGATACCAGCTATTCTTAAGTCTGAACTCTTGACCATTAAACTTGTGTATGCATTAAAATGTGTGTTTGTTTTAAACAGGAGAAGCCTGTCTCATAGCTCATTTGTTACAGTATGGCGCCTGAATTCTAATGGGTTCCTACCTAGAAATGCATGCTCATTTCTCAGACAGGAGGGGTCTGGGCCCACATAATGAGCCCTGCCTTGCATAGGCTCTGGCTCTGTTTGTCAATCATTCTAATAATCAAGCTACTTTTTTAATTATTGTGTTGCAGCACAGACCTCTGCTCAGATTGGTGATCAGTGTGACCTTTCATGTTCATTGTTCAGCCCTGTTTTTTTCTTTCAACAGCCAGAAGACATCAAGGTACAAGAAGTGGACTTCAACCCAGATTTCATTGCAAAAATCATTCCAAAAGTGGACTGGGATGTGCTATGCAAAACAGCTGAGGAGGTAAACCCCTATTGGAACTTTTTAAGGGGAATACCTAAATACCTAGCAAGAGCTTTAGGCAGTTGTACATGTGCAAGTGTGACATAATTCCCCCAGCTGACATGTGGGATGCCAGTCACCCTTTTAACTAGTGTCTAGCAGTGTACCAACTTTGACGACTTTGTGACACATTCATGGCAGTCACCCGCAATCACCAACAGTAGTAAAACGATTCCAAACAATCAGCATAATGATTGCAGAGGCATAAGCATATAAAAAGTGTAGCCACAGGTGGCTCGCCGCAAAAATGCTTACAATTTTCCATTGCTTTACACAACTCCCTTCATGATCCCTCGTTGATGCCCAGTTCCCACAACTCGATGTTGGTTATTCTCTGTTGATTTGCACTTTGCCCGTCTCTTAGTCTTGCCTCTAAGTAACCCGGGCAATTACTCCTGGGAGAGAATAGTTCCCGCATGCCACGCCACCCAACAGACCGCCTGCTCCATCACCAAGGCCTACACCCATAGATAACATGAATCTACATATGCTATGTTACCTATGCTACACATAAAATCCCGTACTTCTAAGCCATCTTCCATTAGTAACGTTGGCAGGTTTTGAACGAGTATTCGTTTCAGGTCGGTCACAAAGGGGACCTGCCCGGCGCGGTGGACCAGGACTTTGAGACGAACGAGGAGTTCCTGAAGAAAGCCCACCACGTTCTCCTCGAGGTAAACCAACCTCACGCCCCTAGAAAACTTTGCGAGATGTACCTATGCATGGTGTTTTTTTTCATCTGGTACAAACGATTGTCTCGAGCATGCGAACGTTCTGTCGACATAGACCTACTGAACTTTATCTGTTTCTTAATGGCCTCGCGTTTCTTTTCATCCTTTGAAACGGCTCGATGTTAAGACTTTAAATTTACGACCCCCAAACTCCCGTGAAGCATACTGAGCTGGCGATTGTGTGACGCCCCCGTACCTCGCAGCCACGGTTCGACACGTCCCATCCCCCCCCCCCCCCGAAACGCTCGGTGGCAATTGAGACCATAATCTGCATCTCCACGGCGACTTGGTACGGACGCCGCGACCCCATCCGCTGTGACCGGCCGCCGGCGCCCCGTGCCGTCCCAGAGTCTCCGGCGACGCGCTCTGACGGCCTCTGACCCTATGTGACCCGTCCAGTGACCCCTGACCCTGTGTCCTGTCCAGTGACCCCTTACCCTATGTGACCCGTCCAGTGACCTCTGACCCTGTGTGACCTGCCCAGTGACCCCTGACCGCCCTCTGACCCTGGGTGACCCGTCCAGCGACCCCTGACCCGCCCTCTGGCCCTATGTAACCCGTCCAGTGACCCCTGACCCGCCCTCTGACCCTGTGTGACGTGTGTCCTGTCCAGTGACCCCTGACCCGCCCTCTGACCCTGTGTGACCTCGGACGGCAGGTGGAGGTGATGAACGGCAGTCTGGTGTGCCCAGAGACCGGCCGCAAGTTCCCCGTTACAGACGGCATTCCCAACATGCTGCTCAACGAGGACGAAGTGTAGGCCGCCGCCGCCCCGTCCACCCCGCGCCATCGCATCTCATTTGTTTGTGTTTAATACAGATTACGCTTTGTTTATTAATAGTCGTGTGCCCCGGCGGACGGTACCACCGTTCGGCGCCGGCGGCGGGTCCGCCCCCGGCTGTATCAGTTACTGTCAGTGCGTCAAACTCGCCGCAGTGACACGTCACACACAGACACACACACACCTGCGCTGCCGCCCCCTCAGCTGCACACATTTCCCCGGCCTCTGATTGTCAGCTGCTACACGACGCCAATGGCTGGACGGTCGGACGGTGGTGACACGGACCCATCGTCGTAAAATAACACCCCATAAAGGCAGCCGCCGGGCGCGTACAATGCCGTACACGCCATATTCTATAAAGCACCTACGACCTACGTGTGGTCCCATTAGCACCATTTCGTTCCGCTCGTGGCTACCCTGCTGGGTGACGGCCGGGCGGCCCGGGTTTGGAGCGGACCCTGCCCCGGGATCCGCGACCCGCACACCGCCCCGCCGCCGCCCGCTCACTAGCGGTCTAACGCTAGTGGATAGAGGAAGCTGAAGACTGGAGCTGCTTCCGAGCCCAAAGATATGTACACTGTACAGTGCACCAGCCCCCGTGGGCAGCGTGTGACGGCGGCTCCGAGTCTGACGTCACGGCGTGTGACACAGGCACGGAGGGCCCACAGACCCGACCGGGTGTCGCGGCACACGCCGGCCCTCGGGCGCCGCGCCTCACTTCTTGGTCTTGCCGTAGAACTTGCTGTTGAGGAGGAAGATGAGGAGGTTGACGTTGATCCTCACCCTGCCGAACATGTCCATGACGGAGACGCCGTCGTACTGCAGCTGCAGCAGCTCCTGTGGGGGGTGGCGAGGGGGGAGGTGGTGACACGCCGTCTCACGGCAGCAGCTCCAGCGCTGCCAGTATGACCGGGAGGTGACCGCAGACAAAAAAAAAAAAAAACTTAACTGTATTATTTCAGTATTTCAGAGTATTCTGATTCAGTAATTCTGAAAACCCGCCGTTGTTTATTTATGCCTGCTTTTTTGCCCAGCAAAGACGACACTCGGTATATCTCATTATGGAGGTACGGCCAAACAGCCGTTTGGGCTGTTTGGCCGTGCAGCCGTACGGCCGTACGGTCGTATGGTGCGCCGTTCCCGCCCACACGGCCCTCGGCCTGGCCCAGTGAACAGCAACACACAGCGCCCGTTTGTAAAGGACGGCAGATATCGACACCTTTTTTTAAACCCCACATTTGTTCTCCGGTGAATTTCAGACAAGTTGGTTAGAGACCTTCAAAAAAGTCACTCGATTTTTCTCAAGTTTGTCTGTCTTGGCAGATAAAGCAATATCAGAACAGGCCTACGAACACACATATTTGATCAGGATCGGACGATTGGACACTTTTAAAAGGAGATCTTTCGTGCCTCCCGGAAATTCACGGGAGAGCAGATGTGGGGTTTAAAAAAAGGTGTCGATATATGGACGTGACAGAGATTGAGAGCAGGTATGCGGTCTCGCCCGTAAGTGTATGCCTCCTGACAGGCGCCGTCAAACTGCGCTGATATGACGGGCGCGGACGAAGGCTCACCTGTAGGCTGATCTCGACCCGCTCCAGCTGCACGCCGAGCAGTTTGGCGTTCACCTGGAACGTGCTCTCGGCGGCCAGCGGCGAGATCTCGAACTGGACACCCTTCAGCTGAAAACAATTATACACCACATTATACCAGCGGCGAGATTTCTCGAACTGCACCCCTTTCAGCTGAAAACGGTTACACGATCACATTATACCAGCGGCGAGACACCCCCACAGCTGCGAACTGCACAAGACCCATGATACCACCCCTTTCAGTGGAGGACGCACCGAAACCCCATTATATCAGCGGCTAGATCTTAAAACTGGACCCCGCCCCCATTCAGCTGAACACGCCGGTAAATGATAACAATGTACTGGCGCGGGTTCCAGACTGGGTTTTTCCTACGGGAATTCATGGGAACACTTGACGTACAACCAAAGGCGATGGAAGCTCTTCAACAGTATAACATACATAAGAAACAAGAGGTACAGGCCACCCAGAGGCCTGAGTCTGGCTCGATACATACCCTGCCCAGTGTCCCCCCCCCCCCCCCACTGACCTCTGCCGGCTGCATGCCCTCGATGCTGATGAGCACACCCTTCTCCTTGAGCCGGGCGGCCGAGTAGCGGCGCGGCGCGGCCGCCCGCTTGGTGCGCTGGCCGGCCGCCATCGCCTGCAGACACGTGTTCAGGTACTGGCTGAAGTAGGCCGCCTGCTCCTGGTAGAAGGCGCGCTTCTTCTCCAGCGAGTCGGCGGTGCGGCGCAGCTTGACCAGCTCGTGGCGGCGCTGCTGCCGGTGTCGGCGCTGGTGTACGATGTCGGCGGCCACGGCCTCGCGCAGCGGCCGGTAGTCGTCGGCGCGGTGCGCGCGGCCGGCGCCCTCCAGCAGCCGCAGCCGCTCCAGCAGCGCGTCCTTGGCCTCTTCCAGCGAGGCGCACGGCTGCGCCAGGAAGGAGCCGCTACGCGACAGCAGCTGGTGTCCGTGGCGGCGCCGCTCGGCCGCGCCGCGCTGCTGCAGCACGGCGCGGTACGCGCGCTCCATCAGCTCGGTGGGCTCGCAGCGCGCGCACGCCGCCACGTCGGCGTCCTCGGTGCAGCGCATCACGTCCACCAGCAGCTGCTTGGCCTGCACGAACACCCGGTCAGCCGACATGCCGTGGTCGTCGATGGTCTCGGCGCGCGGATGCAGCTCCAGGCGCACCTCGACACGCTCCGGGTGCGGGTGGCCGGCCTCGTCGGCGCCCAGCACGCCCTCCAGGCTGGGCCGGTCGCCGAGCTCCTCGAGCAGCTGGTGGAGCGGGTCGTCGCGCGCCGGCGCCACGGCCGCCTCGTGCTCCAGCAGCAGCCGGTGGGTGTCGCACAGCTCCTGCGCCGATACGTACACCACCGGCCGAGCCATCAGCGTCGCCTCGGTGAACTCGTTGCGGCCGTAGTGCTGCTCGGGCTCGGGCACCGCGCAGCACGCGCGCACAAACTCCTTGAAGCGCTCGTGGGCGCTGACGATGAACGGGTTGAGCGCCTGCAGGTGGCCGGCCTCGTCGCCGAAGCCCTTCTTGCTGGCGGCGAACTGCAGGATCTTGGCGATGCTGCCGAGGTTGCGGCGCTGGTCGGGCGTCATGGCCTGGTCGGCGGGCAGCGAGACGATGTCGAACGCGTCCGGCGCCACGATGGCGGAGTTGATGTACCGGTAGTAGACCAGGTTACCGACCACCTGGCGGCCGAGACAGTGGGTCAGCGGCGCGGAACGGTAGACGTCGGCCGGGGACCGGTGGGGTTCGGACGGGAAGGGAAGGGCCTGAGACCGTTAGGCGGGTAAGGGACCGGTGGGGCCAACGACCGGTAGAAGACCAGACTTGTTGAGGGCCCAAGACAAGTAGGGATGCCAGCAACCGGTGGACTCAGCGACCACCGAACTCCGGAATCGGTGGGGTGACCGGACACGGCGGATCGTCACGGAGCCCGGCACTGACCTTGAGCACGTCCTTCTCGGGCGCCTCTGGGAACTTGTCGTGCAGCGCCTGGCGCAGCACCCGGGCCGAGTAGAGCAGGCAGTAGGGCAGCTGGTCGACCGCGTTGAAGATCTCGTCCAGGAATATGTTGGAGGCCTCCTTGAGGCAGTGGATGGCACGGCTGAGCCGGCGGCTGACCTCGGGGTGCTGGAGGGCCTCCTCCTGGGTCACCGAGTACGGCAGACCGCTGGGGAGGGGGCAGAGGAGGGCAGTGCGTCAGACAGCGGGAGAATGCAGGGGACGGCGTCCTCCAGGGGCAGGTGATCAGGGGGAGGGGGGGGGGAGTCCGAGGGAGCCGTACGTGCTGCGGAGGCAGCTCGCACTCGACTGTTGGCCGGAAATGTGCGCTCTGAACGGGCGAGTCAGGATCCTATCTATGGATCACCGACTGCGTCGACTGAGCTGTTCGGTAGGTTTTAACGCTCTCTTATTCATCAGCGGATGCTCTGCGTCGAACGCCGAGGCTCTAAGAATGAACAAGTCATCACCTTAACATCACCGGACTCAACTCACCAGGGCTGCCCGGTCCGGTCCGTCTGACCCAGTGCCGGTCCGCACTCGCCAGGGCCGGTCCGGTCTGTACCAGTCTCTGTCCTCACTCACCAGGGCTGGCCGGTCTGTGGTCCCCACTCACCAGGGCTGGCCGGTCTGTGGTCCCCACTCACCAGGGCTGGCCGGTCTGCGCCTCCTGCTGGTTCACCCAGTGTCGGTCCCCACTCACCAGGGCTGGCCGGTCTGTGGTCCCCACTCACCAGGGCTGGCCGGTCTGTGGTCCGCACTCACCAGGGCTGGCCGGTCTGCGCCTCCTGCTGGTTCACCCAGTGTCGGTCCCCACTCACCAGGGCTGGCCGGTCTGTGGTCCCCACACACTAGGTCTGCCCGGTCCGGTCTGTACCAGTGCCGGTCCCCACTCACCAGGGCTGGCCGGTCTGTGGTCCCCACTCCCCACTCACCAGGGCTGGCCGGTCTGCGCCTCCTGCTGGTTCACCCAGTGCCGGTAGATCTCCACGGGACTGGTGTTGATGAGCAGGCTGCGGTCCGTGAGCACCCGCTCCACCAGCGGGCCCAGCACGGGCCGCAGCGGGTGGCGCCGGCTGTACTGCACGATCAGCCGAACCACCATCGGATTACCGGTCACCACGTCCGACAGACGGTCCACCCGAGACCTGACAGCAATCACAGCAGACGCCGCCCAGTCAGTACACCCGCCGCGACTCGGGTCAGAACTCTCTCGGGATGACATTTCATTTGACCTAACACACTGAAAGGACTGAAATGAGAACTTAATGCTTTTGCATCTAGGGCCGTATTTGTGTCGATCATTTTCGTAAGAATGTTCTTATGCACGACCTAGTACTTCTTAAGAAAATTTGTTTAATGACGTGAACTCCGTCTGACTAAACTGACCGCCTGTGGTCATGTGTGACTCCTCCAGACTGACCTGACCTGTGTGACCCCTGCGGACTGACCTGACCTGTGTGACCCCTC